CTTTTATCCAATCGTTTCTGTCGTAATTTTACAATGTTCTTCTGGTAAAATTTTGTTTAATTATGCTTCTCATAATTAAATGAGAATTTCCTACTACTTGCTGTACAACTCACTAATTTCTTTTAATAAATAAAGGGAGAAAAAACAGATTAAAATCAGATCTGGTATGGAAAAAATCAGATATTTTATTTTGAAGCCTTGTCGCCCAGCCCTAGTTTCCTCCTGCTTCAGGTTTTCTGACTGGTGATTGGTCTGTGTGCAGGAGCAGGGTGGGAGGGGCAGTGAGGTCCAATCAGACGACACCGTGAGGGGGCGGAGGGCAGGACGAGACGGACTCTTCTGGATCAGAACTTTCCTTTATTTCCTTTTCAGTCACTCTGCCGGACAGACGGACGGAGCCGACCCGCTAACGACTTCCTGTCCGGTTTGTCTGAATCCACTCTAACGGTTATAGCTCTACATGATCCAACTGCCAGAACTGGACCGGGTCAACCACTCCGGTTCTGTTGGGATCACATATTTTAGATGCAGATATTTTATGAAAATAAATAAATAAATCCTTCCCGGTAAACGGCGACGTTAAAACCTAAAGGCGCAGGTCCAGAGACCTGCCTCCGTTGGCGCCACCTGGTGTTGCTTAATGTTGCTGTAAATAGAGGCTAACTGTAAATAAAATCTGGAAGAGATGAAATAGATCCGTGAACTTATTGTAATCAGAACGCTGAGTCGTCGGCAGGGACCTGAATGTTAACGGTGGAGTAATTAGAGAGAGAAATAGTTTGTCTTCCTTTTGTTAAACCTTTCATTTTCATACTGTTGGTTTTACTTTTTTTAATTATTATTATTTGTAGTAGGTGACCATATGCTCTGATTTTTGTTTTCATGTTCGGACCAGAGCGTAGCAGAACCCCAGACGGACCCATTATTAACTGAATTTTACGGTTTCCAGGAGAAAAAATTCCTTTTAATTCTTTTTTAGTTTCTGCTCATCTGTTTCTGCTCAGTTCTCTGGAACGTCTTTGGTTTGTTGTCAGATTAAAGTTTCTGATTCTGTCCTGAATGTCTCTGACCCGTTCCTGACCCACCCAGACCAACAAAACCAGAACTTCTTTGGGTCTCTTTTTGATTAAAGATGTTTAGAAAACAAGCAAAGCTTAAAATATTGACCTTTCACCTGAATTTTATGGTAAGATAATCTTATTCAGGATAATGTGTCCAACTACAGACTAACAGACATAAATATAAGGCAGTCAAAGTTTATGATTACAGGTTTTTAATGTTTTTTGATTTCTCTCTACCACTCACTAAAAGTTCTTGTGAAATTCAGAGAAAAACTGTCTGGTAGAACCAAGATTGCAACATTTATTACATTTTCAGCTGCTGCGGTTCACTTTCACACTCACCACATTGTCAAACAAACCAAACCCTTAAAAAATCAGTTCCTCTCCTCACCTGTGGGGGCGCTGCACCAAGAACAACTGAGGGAAACGACATGAAAACCTCAAGACATGAGCGCAACTTCCTTCACAAAATGTAAACAAAAATGTAGTAGAATCAGATTCTAGTGGTTGTAGGACTTCTCTTTGTCTTTGGTAAAAAAAAAAAAAAAGCCATTTCTCCTCCTAGTGCTTCACTCTCATGTCTGTTTTGGTTGCTTTTACCCATAATTCCCTGTCCTGTAGTCCACTTCCTGCTTGTAGATTGTTTTCCAAACTGGTTGGCATTCACATATGAATTGGAACCGCACCAAAGTTAACTTCAAATGAACAGAGATCTAGGTTTGTAGTTTCCAGACTTGGATTGAAATGGACTAAACTGGGCTGGTGTGAATGCATCTGTTTAGTTATTGCAATAACACGTCAAAATATTTTTCTGCAAAAATTTTGTCTCCATACATGGTGACCTTCTGGTGACCCAAGCCGAAGCTATTGACACTAGATGGAGTCGCTTGGCTTTTAACCAATCAAATTGAGTTCCTTTGGTCATGTGACACCAGTGTTTCTCCAGGCCAGAGGTACATCTCTGAATTATAGAGAGAGGAGCTTTTTCTCCTAAACAGAATATTCTCATACTGCTTGACGCCCATTTGAGTCGTTAACTTTTCATCGAGTCGAACTCGGGGGGAATGTTTGACCTGATGACAGCTAATGCACCACCCCGTCTGCAGACACATTGACCTCTGACCCAGCCCATCCGACTGGCCTCCAGCCGAGCCTAATTTGATTGGCTAAAAGCCGGTTGATTAGATGTAGTGCTGATTGCTTTGGCCTGGGTCACCAGAAGGGCATCATATTTTCTGCTGGGGAGTTTGAAGAACAAAAAATAACTTGATTCTTATAGATAATTGCAGATTATAAACATTCTATAATTAACTAAATCAGTTTGATTCTTGTGAGAGTGTATTTCATATATCTGTAGCCTAATGCCTGGTCTTTATATGTACAGACCCATCCAATAAATTAGAATATCACTGAAAAGGAACTTTATCACTACGTGAAACATGTTAAAAAGATTAATTACACCCAGATTGATGTTTGTAAGCATTCATTTCTGTTAATTATGATGTTTCGCTTTAAGGAAATTAAAACATGACATTTAAAATCAAAATATCAGATCATTAAAAAAATGTATTTCAGAAATGGGGGCTTAATGAAAAGCAACTTAAGTTACAGATTGAACACCTGCAGATGTTTGATACTGAAAACCTTTCCAACCTTCAGGTAAGTTATTGAGAAGCAGAACAGCAGTGGTGTAAAAGTGGCAGTATTTGACTAGATATAGCAATTTTGCATTTTTTGTAATTTAAAATGTTTACTTTTGTGTATGTAGTTTTCAATTAAAACACAATTGATTACAGACCCTACAATTAACTCTATTATAAATTTTGATCAAGTCCAGCCACTGATATAAAGCTAAATTTTATATAAAATCCCCCCTTTTAAAACAGAACCATGGATGGACTGGTTATAAGCAGTCTGCTGATAATCAGACTGCTTATAACCAGAACCGGTTTGGACAGCAAACCGGTTCTGGTTTGCTGTCCAAACCACAACCGGTTTCCAGAACGCATTCCGACTTTTCCGGAATTAGACGCTACTGCTGCTGCTGCTGGGAAGCTTCCAGGTCTTAAAATGCAACTTTTAGTTGCGTCGCTCTGCTTCACACCTGAGTCAAATAATCAAGTCATTAGTAGGAATCCGGAGAGTTTATTTGATTTATGGGTCCGTTCTTCATCCCTGAAGCTTCACACCTGCTGGTTTTATTTATGTGAACATGAATATTCATGAGCCACAGGAGGCGGGGCTCTTATATAAACTCCTGCCACCAATCAGAAGCCGGACAACCTCGTGAATATTCATCGGCAGCTCAAACACAAAAGGAGCCTCAGCTGTTACACCCTCCCTCCCACCTCCTGCAGCTGTAACCATGGCAACGCCTTCCGCCTGTGATGGACATCAGGAGGTTGGAGAGCTTTTTGAGTAATTGGCTTGTTAACTGATGCACCACAGAGGAGGATGGTGAGAAGGTCTGCTCTGATTGGCCAAGAAACTGCAGAGTTGCAGATAACGAGCCGATGAGAGCAAGGAGCCTCTCCTCACTTCCTGGTTTGAATCTATGACGTGATTACAATCATAGGATCAATAAAATCAATCAGATTCCTTGTCTTTGTTCTTTATTTATAGCTCCTTGATATTTTTCATTTTTCCTCACTTTCCATCTTTATTCTCTTTTTCTTTGCATTATTTTGTTGCAGTTTTCTCCTTTGATTCTACGCTGAGAGTTTCATTTGAAGGAATATAATAAATTAGTAAAGCAATGCAGCTGTTTAAAGTCTTAAATCCAGCCGAGAAATACAAAAGCAGGCCACCGGTTTCTACTTTATGAAACTCAGAAGACACAGACAATGTCAGAAACATACCAGGACATTTTAGCTTTATAGAGATGCTTATTTTATTTTCCAGCAGGACTCGATACCGACCCAAACTGCTAAAGGTACCAATACCTTCTTCAATCACCACGGTAACACCAGCAAACTGCTCTTTCTTGAACCTCAGAGGATTCATGGGTGGAAAGGAAGATAAAACACATCAGAACCAACAATGCAGAATCCAGAAGAACGCTATCAAAGCAACCTGCACTGAAAAAACAGGAGTTCCAACTTAAAAAAAAAACCTTAAAATAAATGTTACATGTAATCAAATTTAGTTTGTCAAACTTAATTTAATTTGTTTAACATGACAGTAGGGCTGCATTTCTTAAAATATTTTTTTTCTTTACCTGATGCCTTATTCTAGACTTCTAACAAACAAAAAACAACTGAATTCTTGTGTTTTTAGTCTCTGGAAGACAGTATTATATAAATTTACTGAAAAAAAATGCTTTAAATATTTCACTCTGAGTGGAATAGATCACTTAGAAGTGGAGTTTATAAGCTAAATTACTGAAAAGAAGCAAAAAAAAAAAAGAGAATAGAATTCAACTTTATTGCACCGTCACAAGTACAAAGCAACGAAAATCCTAACTGAGATCCAAATAAGTTCAGAAAATGAAGCATATGTGGGCTTAATGGAGAACAATAACATGGGGCCGAGTTTAGTTCCCTGTGGTATTCCACAGATGATTCATATTACCTGAGCCTGAAACAGAATCTGAGCTGAAACAATAATCCTGAAGTGTTTCTCTTCTGTTGGGTTCAGTTTCAAGGAACCTGATGCTCCAGCATGAAGAAGAAGAAGAAGAGGAGGAGGAGGAAGGTGTCCGGTTCTAGATCAATCCTGGGTCACGTGACTTCACTGAGAATCAAAAATCAGCTGATCTGGCAGAAAACTTCCGTTCAGCATCCGAGTTTAGTGTTAAATAAAATAATCTGCGCTCTCTCGTGCTGAAATCTCGCGGTGTTTCCGCTCTGTCGTCAGGGATATTTCCATTTCCATTAATTTTACACTGCCTGCGCGCCGCCGGGCAGTGCGAGCATAGTGCGAGTGTCGGGAACGCGCAACTGCAGCAGATCGTCAGTCGCGCGGAGGGGCGGGCGGGGGAGCGCGCGCGCGTGCTCTTCATCACTGCTCATCCAGAAATTCACTAGGAGGACCGGGACCGAAGATCGGTTTGGGGGAACCTAAAACCCCACTGGTCCGCTTCGAAGAGCCTGCAGAACCGGAGAACCGCCGGTGAGGCTCGGAAAACCCACCGCACCCAAACGCACCGGGCCAGGTGAGCAAGGAGGAACCAGCAATCCGCAGAGATTCGGGTCCGGATCTGAGTCTGGAGCCGCAGAGGGGCAGCGCGGATTGAAGGAGCTCTCTTTGGGGTTTTATTATTATTATTTAATTTTTACACGCCCTCGGAACCGGAGCTCGGAACCGCAGCTCCGTGTAGAGGCGGCGACTGAAGCCGAAGAGCAGCTGGGGGAGGAGCGGCTGTCGGTGCGCGGAGCTCCGGAGACCGAGTGGATCATCCATGGGTTAGCCCGCACTGGTGGTCCACAGTAGTCTGCAGAACCCAGGAGGGTCCGCTCTTACCTGCACGCACCTGCGCTCCCTGACCCGACCTGCGGGGGCCGGATGATGTAGGCGCCGCTGCCCCTCCACCACCAGCAGCAGCAGCAGCAGCAGCTACCGAATCCAGAGTCTCAGCAACCCACCCAGGTCTCTGGACCCCAGGTCTCAGCCCCCCACGTCCCCGGTCCAGAGAAGAACCATGCCGGCGGGGATGAAACCGCTGGAGAAGTTTCTGAAGAAGCAGACCACCGCGCTGACGCGGGCCGGGGGGTTCGGCGGGATGGGGGACAAGGCCAGCGGTGGCACCGGGGCGTCCCGCAGGAGGGCCAGCCTGTCCCGGGTCGTCCCGTTCTTCAGGGAGACCTCACCTGAAAGCGGCCACGCGCGGGAGGTGTTCAGGTGAGTTCGGTTCTGCATCTTAAATTAATTAAAAATAATAGATGAGGTGGACCCAAAGTAAAGGTTAAAGTTTGATGTCATTTCGATCCAAAATTAAAATAATTGATCCCAAAGTGAAAGTAAATGTTGTAATTCTTATTAATTCGAATTCTTCATAAGTCTCCTGTAGCAGTCTGTGTTACAGCGACTTTGAAGGAACCTCTGACTGAAGACTGTTTTTCTACAGTCTGAATGTCTTAGAAAATAAAATAAATAAAATAACAGTTTTGGTTCCTAATCAGAAAAAAATATATATCATCACACCTTTACACACTGGCCACTTTATTAGGTACACCATGCAAGCTCTGGATCGGATCACTTGGCTTTGCATGGAGGTTCTAGTCCATTATGGCATGAAGCAGAGATGATATCCATCATAAGAACCTCCGGGTTCTGGATAACGTTTGTTCTGACCCAGTTTGTCATCAGAACATGAATCCACTGTAGTCTTAAATGGATGGGTCTGGTCAGCACCAAAACTCTGGTTCTGTTCTGCTTTGTTCTGATGCTGTTTGATTTTCAGCTCTCCTTTTTTTGCACATCTGGATGAAAATCTGCATTGGTTAGCTACCATCTGATTAGCTGTTCAGCTTTTTGTGTTTGAATTGAAATGGTGTTCCTAATAAAGTGGCCAGAAGGTTTAACTGGGTTTAGTGTTCTGGGTGTAAACAATTTTGGATAAAAATGTCAATAAATTTATTTGTTCTATTAACTTTCGCATTTTATTCCTAATTTCAATGTGGAAAAATTTGAATAAAGAACAGAAACTTTTTTATATTAATTTTTTGCTTGTCAATAATAATAATAATAATAATAATAATAATAATAGAGACATAATTTATGTAGAAAGTTTTCTGCTTCTGTTTTATTGTAGTTTAGTTTGAGAGGTTTGAGCCTTCTCAGCCACCGTACCTCAGTGGTTCTTCATTCATAGCAGCTCTGGACTCATTTAATGTTCAACGTTCTTCAGCACAGAGCCGTGATTGAAAGCAGGAAATGAAAAGGCCCCAGAGGCCAATGCTTAAGTGGGATGTTGAACAGCCGCTCAGAGATTTCCCTCTGTAGAAAACAGAAATAGAAAAATTACAGAACAAAAAGGTGCCAAAAGTCTAGAAACCATTATGATGAATGTGAGTTTTCAAAGCACACAGCTGTTCATCGCAGAAAAGTCCTCTTTTTGGCGCCTACTATAACATAGCGCCCAGTGTAGCATGGCGCCCACTATAGTATGGCGCCCACTATAACATGGGGCCCACTATAGCATGGCGCCCAGTGTAGCATGGCGCCCACTATAGTATGGCGCCCACTATTGTATGGCGCCCCCTATAACATGGCGCCCAGTGTAGCATGGCNGTGTTTGTGCCGCACAAAAAAAAAAACACCCCCAGAATGGAGCAGGGCCCCCCACTATAGTATGGCGCCCACTATAACATGGCGCCCACTATAGTATGGCGCCCACTATAACATGGTGCCCACTATAGTATGGCACCCACTATAGCATGGCGCCCAGTGTAGCATGGCACCCACTATAGTATGGCGCCCACTATAACATGGGGCCCACTATAGCATGGCGCCCAGTGTAGCATGGCGCCCACTATAGTATGGCGCCCACTATAACATGGCGCCCACTACAGAATGGCACCCACTATAGCACGGCGCCCAGTGTAGCATGGCACCCACTATAGTATGGCGCCCACTATAACATGGCGCCCACTACAGAATGGCGCCCACTATAACATGGCGCCCACTATAGTATG